ATGCTGTCAGTATTAGCATTATTATATGTGTTTGAGTTAGTATGGAGATATTTATATAAACATGTTTATATGTATTTGAGTTAGTATGGAGATATTTATATTAGCATGTTTATATGTATTTGAGTTAGTATGGAGGCATTTATGTTTTTCTTAATTTTTTATTACTAATAGAATCACTGTTGTTTTATAGTATATTTTTTGTTTTCTGAGTTATTGTATACCTAAAATACTAACTGTAAATCAGAACCTTTTCTGGACAATGCTGACACCTAGAGAAAAAAACTGATATTACAGCTCATAGAAAAACAAGTAACTCAGAAGCAATCTTTTCACTCTCCATTTCAACTGAAAACATAAATGTAGATTAAGGTCAGTCTCTTTCAATCGCCCTGCCCTTCTTGATGTTAGAGCACTACTCACAAAGCACGGTGTGTATCACATTCTGCTGATGTTTTGCCATTGGAAATAGCAAGGTTAGCAGCAGGTTTTACACATATAATTGTGTGCATTGTATTTTATTCTGCGGGGTTAGTGGGAGCTTTAAAAGTAACTGCCACTAGACCAGCCCACTTGCTTCCAGTGTGGCAAAAGAGATTTTACAAAGCATAGAGAAGGAAAAGACGAAGGGCATAATAGTGCAGGCAGTGGCGTCACAAGGGGGGTGCGGCCCGCACCCGGGTGATACCATTGGAGGGGTGACACTAAAATGACTGGCAGTCATTTTGGTGTCACCCCCCCCTCTGAAAAGTCGGGCGTCGGTCATGGACCGAACGCCTAACAGTATCAGGAGAGGGGAGGGGACCCGGCGGCATACCTTATCCCACCAGGTGACTGTCCCCTCCTCTCTCTGCCGGCACCCATCACCAAGATGGCCGCCAGCAGGTATCAGAAGAGTGCTGCACATGCGCGATGACGTAATCGCACACACGCACGGTGACGTCTTGGCGGGGTAACCGATCCGGGTGTCACCCAGCCTTGGGACGCCCCTAAGTGCAGGTGCCTCAGGTGACAACTAATAGGGCACACTGAAAGCACCTGGGGGCTATTATGTAGGTCATAATGACTTTAAAATTAAAGTCACATTAAACTCAGGGGTTAAATCTAAAAAATGCATTCAAGTAAGTCAAAAATACATAAGTAGCTTATTTATGTATCACTCAGCTGTAGATCTTCAAATCATCTCTGAATTTGTGTTGACACTGCCCTTCCTTCTGGAGAGTGGCTACTTTTGTTCCCCATGGTCCTTGTGTGTGCTGTAAAATAGCCACAGCTCGAAGCTCACTCCTGGGATGGACTACATTCTCTAAACAAATGAGTAAACTGAATGTGAGATTGTAGTCCATCAAAGGAGCGAGCTTGGATCAGTGGCTACTTTACAAAACACACAGGGACCATGGGGAACAAAAGTAGCCCCCTTCCAGAAGGAAGGACAGTGTCAGCACAAATTCAGAGATGATTTGAGGGTCTACAGCCGAGTGATATATAAATTAGATACATTTTTTATTTGTTAGGGTACTTGAATGTATTTTTCAGATTTAACTCCTGAGTTTGGTGTCACTTTAAGCTGGTGGTCTCCCCATAGGATAGTGCCCTATCAAACTGCACAGTTTACCTATAGCGAAAGCTGTTTTTGACTATCTGTAACATTTATTTATTGAATTCATACATTTTTATGATGCTAGCAAACTCTACTACGACAGGTAACTAGACCAGTCACATAAGTGCATATCAACCGAAAAGCTTTCAACCCAATTGCCCAATTACAGTAATACAGACACACACACTACAGCCGATTTGTATAGACACTAATTAGGGGAAGCCTTAATTAGTGAAGTATATGTGGGTTGCCATTGATATCCTTGTTCTAAAAATCCTAGTCCCCTAGCTGTAACAGCAGCCCTATGGTTTCTATACCTTTTGAGTTGCTGGCTGAAAGCAAGTATGTAGCAAGTCCAGCCTCAAGATATGTATATTTGATCTGATTCAGTCAAAAAGAATTAACATCATGGATTTAAAATGCCATCCAGAACAACATTTTAATGTATGATAAGCCAAAATATTTGTTTGTTCCATATTGGATAGAGTATTGAATGGATAAAACTCTGAATTTCTTGTCCATCCGTTTCTTCCATCACTGTCTGTCCTATAGGCAAAATAAGTGGGACAGAATCTCCCAAAAGTAAAGGAAGTGTCCTCTTCAGGGTAATGTCACACAATTATGGATTTTCCCTTACTTTCAGTCCCAGTAAAAGTGGTCACCAGGACATTTATGGGCAGTGGGGTCACAGGGAACTCCGCCCCCAAAGTTACTTGGGCACAAACCATGCCAGTAATGGAAAATTTCCTATTGCACAAAATGGTGTTTGAGTAATTAGGAGGGGAGACCCACCTTTTGAGGCCCTGCCACTGCTGAATATTAGTAAAATTAGATTTGTTAAAGTATTTTTTACAATTTTGTAAAAAATTGTTTATTTACCTTACCATCTTGTCTTGAATTGTATTGTGACTGTAATGTCTGCCCTATATTGTAAAGCGCTGCGCAAACTGTTGGCACTATATAAATCCTGTATAATAATAATAATAATAATTTAAATTTTCCCCACCCATCTGTGAATTGGTTAGGGATTAGAGAACATAGAGGGCAGGTAGCTGGCACATAAGCTCCTTACCTTGGCAGCACTTCCTCAGCACTGCTGGTGCTGAAGAACCCCATCAGCATCCAGCTCCGTGAGTGAAGTGGGTACCTTTTTTTTTTTTTTTTTTTTTGTTTTGTTTGTTTACTCAAAAAAAAGGTAACAAGTTAACCAAAAGATGGCTGAACCTGTATGGAAAATTTAGGATCATCCCACTCCATAGACGATTACCTTTTCAGCACAAAATGCAGTGATTTGACAGCTAAGCAAGGTAAATTTTAGTTAAGAACAGCTTGAAGGAATGTCAGGTGAATGTGCAGGGAAAATAACATCCACCCTTTTCTTACATAAAAACCTTTTCCTATTAAGAACAGGTGGGGTGTTGCCAAATTTTAGGGAATGTGATGTTTGCTGGGCAAATTATGGGTGAATATCCACTAATTTGTTTTAAAACATACAGTGATGGCTGAGCAAAAAGGATTTGGGCTACTGTTGGGCAAATTACTCATTGCAAAGTGTTTTCTCATCTTACAGCATTGAGTGACTTACAACTACTTAACATTTTGTTTTTTAAGTCAGATTAAGTTTATTACATTTTGGGCACAACTAATCCATTCATGTAATCTAATACTTCATGTTGCAGTCAGCCACATATCCTAATAAGCAACACCAATATAAAGTTTCCTTTTAAACATTCAGCGTCATGGCTACATGGTTCTTTCATCCATATTAAGTGGTAATATGTTAATCTGCTAGAGCACTAAAGCAGGTGCATTCATTTCAGATCATTGAGTGGAATTATGATAAATCCATTCGTTCTCTTAAATGCACTAAAATAGCAACACGCCTGGCTGCTGTGTAAATTAAATAGATTTTATTTACTAAGATGATTCAGGTATAGGAAACATATTTTATTTAAATAGCTTCATTAAACTATAACTAAACATTTGTAGAAATATTTAGAATTGTATCTGTTGTGACAAATGTTACACAAATAAAGACAATTTAAGCTGAAAAGATTCTAAACAAACTAAATGAACTGAAAAGATCTCAATGCAAAGGGGTTTTTTTTTGTTTTTTTTAATTAAAACATCAAATGATTGTGTGCACTGAATGATTTGATTGTCATGCATGTGGAATGTCATGTATGTGGAAAGATTTAGGTGTGACTGACTCAACTGTCATTTAGCAACTGAGAATATCACGATAATGCCAAACTCTTGTACAAAGCTCTTTACAGGAGCCATATGCAAAAAAGATGGAGGCAGAGGTAAGGGAGGCGGCCTCAACTAGTATGAATGGAGAAGGTTTAATTATTATAAAAGATAGGATCTAACCTCACTCTTCAATAATTAATTATCCTCTACCTGGGTATTTTGCTGTAAATTTTCTCCTACATACTTGCAGTGTAACCTTTTTGGAATGCATCAACATACTTATAGATATGTACCTTTAAAACATATTGAAATCCAGAAACAAAATGTAAGATATTGCAGCTTACCAGTCCCTAGATGTGGTAGCTGCATTCATTTTCAGACATTTTCCAGTTTATTCACCTAGCGATCCTGTGAAAACCACAATTCCTGTCCTTTTGCTCTTACACCCATTTTTCCCTCCTCTGTATCTGCGGAGGGAGCCATGATTACCACCCAGGATGGACTTCAAGCCATTACATGGTGGATTGATGAGACTTGTAATTTACGCAAGAAAGATAAGGATGTTTATGCTTTCTTTATTTTAATCTTACATGACAAGGATCTTGCATTTTCAGCCTGAAAATTAAAAAATAATGCAGCCTAAAAATAAAAATTAATGAAGCCACCACATCTTAGGACTGGTAATCTGCAATATGTTACATTTTTTGTTTTTGAGTTTAGATGCACTTTAAGAAGACAAATTATTTGCTGTGATATTTACCTGCCAGTCAGAATGTAGTTGTATGGCATAATATATTACGGTATATTATATTAATTATGTTATATTTTTATGTAAAGGGTTTTAATGAATCAATTTTTTTTTATTTCTAGATCTTTGGTATGATCTTCAGTATGGTCCTTTGTTGTGCCATCCGCAATTCAAGAGATATGCTGTGATCTACCTATTGTGCCTTCCACCCCAGATCATTAGAGTGGTACCTGCTGGCACAGGGACTGTTACACACCTGTCAGCTTGGACAAACCTTATTACCCAAGCATTGTATAATAGGCAAAATGTTATAAGCTATGCTTTGTATAAAACTAAGCAATATATCATAAAACACGTTGCTCCGAAGAACAGATATTAAATGGTGTAGCCATTTTGGAATATTACATTTTATGGTAATGCTCTAGAGGAATTGTCTCATTAACATGTAATTTGAACTGTATAAAGTTTCAATACTTCTTTTATTGTTGGTGTAAATTGAGGCCTTATCTTATATTTAGCTACAGTTTCATTCTTTAACTGAAATGTTAATATTGCTGTAAAATTACTGTAAACAAAGTAGATGTTTAAGATCATTTTATGCATTTTGGTTATTTACAAAGATATTAACTATTTGAAAAAAATGCAATGCTTGCCTGATTTATTAAATGTAACATGAATGAATGAATGTCCTGGCAGTTCTATAGAGTCGTTACCCCCAATGGTGGCTTGGAGTTATACTGTATATAATGGCTTTAGAGCAAAATGAAGATGCTAGATGAGGTTCACACTGATCATTGTACATCCAGTCTTTTGAATTCCCAAGGAAAGCCATGTGCATAGCAAACCATAAACAACAAGCAGGTTCATAAATCCGCTGAATGCAGTTGGCATCTGTATTGGAAACAAATCATATTCAATGATATGCTATTCAATGTGTTGGAAAAAAGTTTTAATGGTTAATATATTCAACAGATTTTTACCTGGGAAAGGTTTGAAGATCTGATTGGTTGCTGAAGCATGTTGATAAGACTGACTGGATTCTAGGAGGTCATAAAGAGTTGATTGAATGGTTGATATAGATATATGTACACTGAATACTATTCTTCTATAATGTACTTTAAAGTCTTTCAAGTGCAACATCAGGGGAAAAAGCACAGATATAAAAATAATAAGGAATTAAAAGAATGACCTTGAGTTGATTTTCATCTTACTTTTTGTCCCAGACACAATTGTCACTGTCAGTGGAACATAAACACCAATTAAAAACCAGGCAAAAATTCTAACCCTTAACCAGTGTATAAAAAACTAGAAAGGTGTTAGGAAAAGTTCTGCTAATAAGTAAAGTCAAGTACTACAGGTTGGCTGAAACTGTGGGGAATGTAGCTTTTTTAAGAAATGTGCTAAGTAGGAAAGGGACAATGATAACAATAGAGTAGCCTTTCTCAAACATTGTGCCATGGATTCCTGGTGTGCCTTTTGGCTTACTCAGGGGTGCCTCATAATATTGTGGTAGTGGGACTGTTATGTGAAGGAGGGAATAAAAACTCAGGTCAAGGGGGCTCCTGATCTAAAGGGGGTACTATGATGTGAAATAGGGGCTCCTGATGTGGAGAGGGCTACTGATGCAAAGGGTGATTCTGATGTGAAGGGGGATATTGATTTGAAGGGGGCACTTCAATGTGAAGGAGGAAAGTCACATTCTTGTGTGTTTTTGTGGGATCCCCCTTAAAATCTATTATATTTTATACTGGGGAGCCTCATAATTTTGCATACTTTTAAAGCGCCATGACTAAAAAAAGGTTGAGAAACATTGCAATACTGTCCATTCTCTTTTACTCTTTTTAAATATAATACTTACATTCAAAACCACACCCATTTCACATAAAAAGACCTAAAGCTGAAGTTGAATCTGCTTATATTTTGTCTTCCCTGGTTCCTCCCGCCCCAATCATGTTAATGACCTTTTTAAATAAGACCTTTCCATTTTTAAAAAATGACATTCCCTATTTTAGACCCAGTGACACTGCTCTATGCAATGCAGGCAGATTATGACTGTTGGAAGATGCTGGTAGGGTACTGTACATAGTTTCCTGAAAACATCACAGCACCCTGCCTCAGTACACTTCTCAAGAGTCCTTAGTCCTGATGCAAGCAGTGGGAGGAGGAGCTCTTGAGAGGAGTTATGCAAATATCAAAATGCCTGGATGGGTAGATGTCGGTCTGGAGGAGTGGGTGTTACCTGCGGTTCCCTCTAGGTAATGCCTGCATGTGATGCTGAGATTCTGTTATTTAACCACTTTAGTACCAGCATGTTACACCTCCTTCATTACCAGGCCAATTCTCAATTGTTTAGTTACTGAGAATTACTCCATCACGCAACACTGTAACAAAATAGATTTTATATACTAGAAATTTTGAGCTAGATAAGGCTTTCTTTAAGTGGTATTTAATAACTTTTTTTTTTAATTGTTTATTATATAAAGTAAAGAAGACCAAAACATTTGGGGGAAAAAGCCAGTGTTTCTTACCTTCACTTATAAAACATCAAATAAAAATCAAATAAAAATGTCGGGACAGTATGAAAATCCCTGAAATTACCCTATTTAGAAAGTAGATACTCCAAGGTGATCTGATTTTTTGCCACTTGTTTTTGGAAATGAAGACACATGCTGGAATTGAGGGCGTTAAATCATGGAGCTTGGTAATGCACAAGATAAAATAAAGGTATAGAATATACACAGTGAGGTGATTGGTGAGATTGTTAATGTATAGGTCACATACAGTAGGAGGATGGAGATGAAAGGGTTAGTGTAGAGGCGTGTGGGATAAAGGAGGTGAACGGGTTAATCCATACATCAGAGCAGAGACAGAATGCAGATAACATAAGGGGACACACAAAGGGTTAAAATTATTTAAAATGAATCCTTTACTCTCCCCTGCCATGCCATGGGATCAACCATGGGTGGACGTGCAGGCACATTCTCCCAGAGCAATGAAGCTCTATATGTACAGTGGCCAGTCCACAGGTGGTTAAATAACTAAAATCCAATCAATGAAAGGGGTGGGACAGAGACAGTAAAGCTGTGGAGGAAAAAGTTAGATGATTCTTGATTGCTGGATGTCCTCCAGACAGGAAATGTGATGGGCCCTATATAATTTTATGCCGCTTCTAATACACATTGTGAAAAGCTCACAGTGTGCAGTGATGTCAGACTAACCATTTTATTGGACGATTTCTTAAGGGACCGTAATATACAGGGGTACGGGTACTCCTAGAATGAGATCCTAATAGGTTGGACTTGATGGACTAATGTCTTTATTCAACCTCAAATACTATGTAAGTATAGGAGAGGAGCCTGTACACCTCTGCAAGACTAAAGGTAAGGCTGGAGTTCATTATTACATGTTTAAGACATTACCTTTTTTGCAAGTAAGAGTCAACACTTTTCCTATGCGTAATGAATACAAAAGTATATCATTTTTGTAGATAGTTGTGCCAGCTATGTCCCATATTAATAGAAGCTGTACAAAAAGGAAGACTTCAATTATTTTTACATTTATATTAGTAACATTTTTTGTAGCTCTTCATAATGAATTTGCAAGTTTAGGCATGCATGTAGTTGTAGAGGGACAGAAATTCATAGCCAACACTTTCATGACTACTGTACAGATACAAACCTTCTCATAAAATATGTAATGTGAACTGTAAGTAGTCAATATATCACATTCCAAAAAACCCTATTGATCAGCACTGTAGTGTCAAATAATAAAGTATAGTATTAAACCACAACCTGTTTATTTGATGTACAAATAGATAAATATATGTTACACTGTTTTATCTACAAAAAAAATGTTTATACAGTAGTAGTAGTAATGTAAAAATAACTCATATCTAAACTATTCCACACATCCTTTTTTATAATAATTTCTGTACACTGACACTATAGTGACATTCAGAATGCTTACAAGAGGTACAGGTGTTGATTTACTAAACGCAAATAGACTGCAGGAGGAGTTTCCCCTGAGTTTAGTGAATGGAGTAAAACTCTGCTGATTTCTATCATCCAGTCATGGAAGCAAAAATACAATTTTCCTTTTACATGATTGGCTATTCTTTGCAAAGTGAAATGTCACCACCTTCTCTAAGCTAAGGGAAAATTCCCCTGCAAAGTGCAAATTCCCTTGCAAAGTGAACAGCCTATTTTCCTTAAGTAAATCAACCACATTATATTGGCTCTTGCAGATGACCGCCTATGGCATCACAACAGTGCATTTCCACTACCAAGGAGCCACAAATGTCACATACAGCCTCCCATAGAAGTCAATGGCGGTACGTGAGTATATGCTAGAGATGCACCAATACCATTTTTTCCAGACTGAGTACAAGTACCAATACTTTTCCTCAAGTACTCACCAATACTTTTTTGTGTCATGTGACAGTTTTTCTAAAACAATAAAAGACGAATGATTTTAGGACAGTGGTGGAGTGCCAATGCCTGGTCACAGCTGTGACTGCTGCAACCCTGGTAGTTCTGCCACTTACTCTAAGCTGTAGAGGGACAACAAATCTTAGCAATACATTATACAGCAATGCAGAATGGCAACCGGCTATAGAGGACTACAAATCCAAGCAATATGACATTGCTGCTCACTTGAGCAGGAGCGTCGGTCACGTGATGCGTCTGTGACGGGCATGGGGGGCGGAGCTGACTTCTGATGGCAGCAGCGGCGATGAGAGGTGAACAGCCGTGGCCCCGTCTCCGACTCCCAGGCCCAGGATCCGAAGCACAGGAACCGAGGCAACGGTGCAGCGGTGCAACAAGCAAAGTAAAGTGAGCCAAGGCAGAGCGAAGCCGCAAGTAAAGCAGCAGCACAAAAGCAGAAAAACAGAGATATTGCTCTGCATAATGCAGAGATACTGCACTGAAAATACGCCGGTCTGCCGGGTACTGTGGCAAATAACACCATGGGTGGAAAGAGAACGCAGAAGGGTGCATTGGCCAAAACACCTAGGTCTGGCACAATAAGGCGACTCTGGGAGCAGGAACCCATAGTACAGAGGCGACATGGACGAGAAAGCCGGACCACAGTACAAGCGGGGGAAGGAATGCTGGTCATGGAGTGCAGGAGAGACCAGGCTAGGGCAACTATAGAAGACCAAAATACATCTTCTCATCAAACTACTTCACCAGCTACTTCAGGGACCTCTGAGTAATCACATCAAGGTACTGAATTAACGTCACATACATTAGCAAAAACCTTACCCACAAAATGTGAACTAATAACTATGCTAAGGCAGATGGCGGATTCCATATAGACAGACTTGACTACAATCAAGTCAGATTTATCACATGTACTAAAGAGGGTAGAGGAAACGGAGGAGCGCCTAGACCAGCATGAGAGAGCAATCAAGGAATTGCAAGATCAGAGTAAAACTAATGAAGTCTCTCTCAGAATGGCACTCTATAAAATAGAAGACCAAGAAAACAGAAATAGACAAAATAATCTAAGACTCCAAGCTATTCCTGAAGCGGTGGGAGACAGGGATTTAACAGGAAAGGTCAAGGAGGCTTTTAATGTGTTGCTGGACAGACCCCCAATGACAGAGATGATCTTTGATAGAGTGCACAGAGCAATGCGTTCTAGGGCAGTGGGAGTGGAGGGTCCACGAGATGTCATCATACGGTTCCATTACTATGGAGACAAAGTTC